AGCTTGAAAGAATGACGCGAATGATTTACGAAATCGTGAAGACAAAACTCGATTTCATATATCAGCTGAGAATGATACTTAGAAAGTGTTGTATTGTGAAATGCTGTGTTCAAATCGTGGTAATGACCCGATGAATCTGTTCATCGGTAAATTCATTTTACAAGCGCTTGAATTTACGTGAAGCAAAGTTCTTGATTCCATGTACATGCACCAGGAAGAATAGTATGTAGAAATGCGTTACATATTTCTTCGTCCATTGTCAATGGCCCGTCACTTCTGTACTTTTGTAATTGCACTTCTTTTCTTGTTCGTTCGTATCATTAGTTCTTACTTTCTTTTGCCAAATTGTTTAATGTGAACTCCTTATGTTTAGGACTTGCGGCCGACCGAAATGATCGTTATGGAGACATGTCTTCTAATGCTTTATCTATTAGCAATTCCAACCGTGTCATATTGACAATAACAGACGCATAATGTAATGTGTCATTTGCGCCCTCGTAATCCCAGACGTGCTCTTTCATATCGTATATCTGATAAAAGCTTTTTCGTACATGATGCCAGTGAGCCCAGAACTTGGTTTCGAGTGATGCACTATCGCCTTTCTTGAAACCAAGATTGTCTCTGTCGGATAGTGAATCCATGACAATTACATGGGCACTATGTGGTAAAAATGGTCCAATCATCGAAACTCCTCCCGATGGCGTTATTAAAATGGTCGTTTTCAAAAGTATTTCGAGCTGTTGACGAAATGTGAAATGTTGCCACTCAACAACATCAACTCTAATCCTAGGATACGTCGTTCTGACGAATTTGACAACATCGTTCAGATTAGCGATACTTCTTCTCGCGAATTTAGCTCGACCAGAATCGGTTTTGTTTGTTATTGTAATCCGATGATGCGATGGTATAGAATAATGGTTGAAACCATAATGTTCAAGTATTTTACTTCTCCAGTTGTAGAGCAGAGTCTCTATTTCATGATGTTGTTTATTCGGTCCGTACTCAAACAAATAGATTGGACCACCAACTATAAATCGCTCGAAGCACACGTATTTTGTGTTGAAAGATGGTAAGTAGGTTTCTGCTTCAACTAGCGGGTTGGACGTTAGTGCGGAAAGGATTTCATTTTTCAGCTTTTGGAATAGTGGATGCTGAGAAATTCGTCCTAAGTGCATAATTACAAGTGCATTGTCGAACTCTCGCATTCGTTGCATCGAATAGTAGATCATACCGAATTCTTCCCAAATGACATGCCCAATATTCATGTATGTAGCAAATAGTTTCCATAGTGTGTGCAAATGACTAAGTTTTGTAAAGTTTTTGGTTGGGTATGCACCGTCAGTCATTATAGGGGCCCATGTAGCTTTCCCTCGTGGCATTGATATTGCAACAAACCCTTTTCCGCTCCGGCTTCGGTTAAAATCCGTTATCATTCTTTCGGCAGCATCAAAAAATATCGGTTTCCTGATACTATATGGTCGGCGAAAATATTCAAAATATTTATTTTCGACGTTGTAACAAATATCATTAAATACGCAAATGACGTTGAACAAAAAAGACAGTTGCAGCTTCCTTTCTATCTATCATGGACATTTATAACACGAGAAAATGAATTAGGTGGAGACGCCCTTTTTCTCCATTGCCAACGCGTTGGGTCCACGCATCTAGATGATGGTCATCACCAATACATCTAAATTTTGAATAACGTTCTGCTGAGCTTGAGTTCGATGAAAAATAGCGAATGGATATTTGAGGCGGTCTCTGAGATAATGATACTGGGCGCTCTACAAAGAAACGTATGTTTAAGCTAATACTTAATTCCTCGCCTCAACGTTTTACGTGGCTTCCTTAATGGACTGTAGTTTTAACGGTTATCTCTTTTAAGCTGATATTCATTTTGGCTTACAGCCACAGTATAAATCGTGTCGGTATAATGATGATTAGCCTGCCGAAATTTGAACAGACAAGAGCAAGTGACTTGCTATCATTTTGAATCGCAGTTAAGAACGGATCTTCTGAGCTCTGTCGTAACTGAGATGGATCTACAATGCCATTTGGCGATTGGTCTACTAATAAACGCGTATAAATCAACTGAGATGCTTAATCGAATCACGCATAATTCGACCGTTGAATTCAACTTTTATCACTATGACAGTACCGCCTTTGGTTCAACTACGGACAGGTGCTGAACAAAACTAAAACCGCTTAGACAACAACTGATTAGGGATATATAAACCCTATTTCCGATTTCTTTTGGCGGACATAATAGAAGCCCATGGTCTTCTGTTTGCCTTTCAAGTCATATAATCGACAGTAGGCTTCTGTTATGGGGACGGGGTTTACTTACGAGTGATCCAGAAAAAATCGACTACTTTTGTTTTCCTTTTTTTGGGGTACTTTACTACAGGTTGAGCGCTGCACTCTGAAGTCGGTCTATAGATAAATAATCGCCCTACAAAGTTGTAGCGTTGAATTTTCAAATAAATATTTGCCCTGTGGGCAAAATTATTAACATATGCTCAATGCTCCTTCTGCAACGTGACAATTTTCGTTGTTTTAAAACCATCTTCGATCTTCAGACAGACTCACAAAAGCAAAGCAACTTATGTTAAAAGATAGAGAATTTTGTCCTCTATCGTTCTGATTTGTGTTAGAGATTTCATATGTTGTACTTCTAGTTCACAAACGCTTAAAGTAATTTTTGGTGATGATTTTTGACCTGGTTTAGCAAATCTTAAATCTTCTGAGCTAAAACTTGGTTCTGAGATCTTTAGTTTTACACCATATAATACAGAATTCAATTTTGAACAAAACCGTATGACTTATGGGTGGAATCTCGGCAGCTTTCCACGTGATATTTAGTCAAAATTCGGAAAAATGCATTTCTTGGATATCAACAGATTTTTCTCAGCACAAATTTTTCCCATGAGAACTTCTTTTAATATTCTGCAATCTACACTATATCAAAGGATGCAGAATTTTGTTCAGAAGAGTGTAACAAAATTCAACTATAGTAAAATGTCCCAAAAAAAGGAAAACAAAAGTGGTCGATTTTTTCTGGACCACTCGTTACTCTATTTTTCTCGTATATAAAAATAATCTTTTCAGGCGATGTCTTATACAAATACAGATGAACTCTCACAAAAATTAAAAACCCTATTGAATACGTTGAAAAATTATATTATAAAAAGGATATCAGGAAGTAGCTTTTGCCGTTTGTCTACAAAGATCAAGTTCGTGTGTCACATCCTAGCTTAGTGCAAAAATTGATTATGTGCGTTGATAATTTAACAACAGAAAGATAGAATGGGAGTTTATATTTTCGTTTTCATGTTGAATAAACATAAAAAGCTTCAGCTAAGATATTATTATGTTATTTTAGATAGCAATCTATACTTTCTATCCTTGAATGCTTTGAATATGTACAAAGAACCTTACTATCTTCATGTCCAGCTATATGCAATGATCAGGAGTTTAAAAATTATAAAAAAGTCAAGTAATAATTTCAAGATAATACTTTTGCGGGATAAGATAAAATTATTAATTAACGAAACGCATTAAGTAAGATCAAACACCGTATTAGTGTCAAAGAAGGGTAGAGAAATATTTGTTTTGTTCCAATACACCATATTTATAGTTGTATTCATCACATGGAGACTTATTGCTACTGAATTACATATTATTGTACTGATATTACCTATTTTCAATGTACATTTGATCGCACCAGATACGTTTGTTGACCTCAGTAGTATAATTATTAATGAAACCAAGAGTAAACACGTCAGGAATAATAGACAAAGACGATATATTCCAAATCGCTTAACATACATCTATAGAAGGGCTCCCAGTAAATTGTACTCTACATACGGTTCCAAGTATTGTGATGCGATGCAGCTTACTCTACTCATGTCATCAAAACTGGTTAAATACCGCTCGGTTATCGTTTCGGTACCAGAACGAAAGGAAAAAAATCAAACATGTAGAGCAATTAGATGCAGTGTGTGTAAGTCATATATGTATGTAAAAGACGTTTCTGAAAATCTGGTTCTCCAGAAACCCTGTCTCTGGAGGCCCATCAGCACAAACCGATGTGAGTTTCGAATTTAGTGCTGTCGATTACTATTGTCCACTAGAGTTCAAGCAAAAACCGATTGTACACTTGAGGACCTTTCCGCGTAAGTCTAACTACGACACGGACAACGTGATGCGGAACCCGGTGATAAGATATGGCAGAAAAAGCTTATAAAAAAGCGTTAGTTTTGACGACCCATTTTTATCGTAGAGGTGATATTTCCTTCAACGACAATCATTGAGAAACTCATAAACATCTAGACTCAACTTTATTTCGACTTAATAAATTTCTTCACATCTTTTCTTTGGATTACTATTCTTGGGAAACTATATTTCAGCTAGCAATCTCATATATTTCTCTTTTGTCTGGATGGAAATATCTCTGAGATCTCACTAAGTTTTTCTTCTATTGGAAATCGTCTCCTGGAATCCATCTGACGGTCTTTCTATTCTAAATGTAGTTGTCAGTTCCTATGAAATGTCGTTAACTTGACGTTCGTTTATTTGCGCAAAACGCGTGTGCGAGTCCTTGATAGAACATGAATATCTGTACTTGAACTTTTTCTACTTTTCAAATACAAAGTAGTAATGCCTGTACTGTTAGAACAGCACTCGTACTTTAAGTATATTTTTAATACTTCAGGTACTTTGTTTTCTCTCAGCACTAATTTCGCACTTTTTATACATGCTTCAACGATAATGTGTCAATGACGTAATACCTACGTCTGAATGCTCTGTGGGTGAAAATAAAGCACGAACAGCAGTTTCTGCCTGATATTGAGAATCATCGAAAAAGCTTAAGAAATAATCCAGAACGTTCTGCAGGATTTTTCGCCACTTACTGCTAACTCAGACCACTATGTTATAGGTGAACAAAAATAAAAATAGTAGTGAATGAGTGAGGACTAAAAGATAAAAAAGTGTTTGAAGTACTTGTAACTTACTCAAAGTACAAGTGCAAATCACTTTTCATCTTTTGAGCGTTCTTAAACTAAGGAAAATTCAAACAGAAGAAGAAAGCCAAGGCCAACAGCTGACCAACAGGATGAAAGGTTAACACTATTCCACAACCACGAATAGAGAAGATGCATGCTCATTCATTGTCACGAAACAATTTTGTTTGACGCACTAACTACCTTGTAATCTATGTAGACCGTGAGCTTAAGATGAGTAGTAGCGCCAAAGTTGTGGACGTGTTTCATTTGCCAAAAAGATGAGACAAATCGAGAAAAATAGATTTTTAATACATAATATGCAATGACCTTCATTCCAATATCCCTCACTCTTTTGATCT